CGATAGAAATGCTTGACATTAATTTGTGATTAAACTTGCAAAGTTTTGAAGATTTTATAAATATTTTGCAAAAAATATTTGAAAATAATTTGAATCGAAAAAAAGCAATTCTGCGAAAAGTAAAAAGTTTTTTCCTGGAAAAAAAGTAGTTTTTTACTTTATCAATATTAATAATTATAATTATCAATGTTGTGTTGATTAATTACTCTGTGAAAAAGTGGATTACTTAGCTTTAACAAATTTCATTTTGCTATCGCTTGTTCTACGATTAATGTTATTTCTTATAGGTTAACACAAAAGTAATGTATGGGTCAACATAAACTTCTTTTGAAACTTGAGAAGATGTGGTACAATATAACTATTAAAAAAGATTATAAAATTATAAAATGAAATTTACAAGCAGAAAAAAAATCCAAAAAAAACAAAAAGTAAATGAAAGCTGAAAAAAGTTTAAAAAAGTTTTAAATTGTGTGGAATAAAATTAAGTTACAGTTCATTTTCATCAATTTCTTGGCAGCTTTTTCGCAGCATTATCAAATAATATTCTCGGAGAACAATATTTCACTGCTTTTTAAATTTGATGAATTTTTTTAAATTTTCATTTCTAATCGTAATCATATCATTATTCCATACAATCGATTTACTGAAGAATGTATCGATGGAATCAACTGGAAATAGAGAAATACAAAACAATAAAATGAGCAAGAAGTATAGTAAAATATAGAAACTAATAAGTAAAAGTTGAAAAAAAATAATTAATTAATTCGAATTAACTTAATATATAATCTTTGCTCTTCAAATCTCAATATCAGTAACAGAAAGGAAACCTTTGATATCCTTGATGATTTTATGTTGAAACTAACTTTGCTATTATTAAAATTGATCATATCAATAGTCGAAATTTATCAATAAATCTAGGAACAATTAAAAATGTATTTTATTACTTCCGGTTGTTATGCAAACCAACTTTTGAACCTTATGTTCAATTAGCAATGTAATGTTTTTTTTCCTTTTCGATGAGATCTTTTTTCTTCTTTTTTTTTTCTCACATCAAATTTTTTTACAAAGTTTCTTTTAGAATTTTTTTGAAAGATAATTTTTTGAATTTCGAATCTTTCTTTTTTTCGATGAAATTTTCATTTTTTTTTGACAAAGTTTCATTTCAACAAATCTGTAATAAAATTTACAAATAAATTTTCTTCCTGAATCTTTTCTTTAGGATAATTTGGGCACTTTTTTTTGCTTATAATGCATTATTAAATCAAATATTTCAAACCAATGTATTTTTATCACCGAAAAAAAAAAAAGAAAAAAGAACATAGAATTTATTGATCATAAAAGGGAACGGATAAACAACAAAATATGAATAAATTTGATAGGTAAATAGTAACAAAATAAAAACTGAAAAATCGTAAATACTGCAAAAGTTTTTTTCTGATGCGAAATTTAAATTTTGCAAATAATTTGAAACTCCAAATGTCAAGCGGTGTCTCATTATTTTTAACAATAAAAATTTTATAGTTGGTTATGTTTAAATGTATAAATATGTGGCAATTCGATCATTTGATTATGGTTCTGATAATGGTATCAATTAGACAGCATCGAAGTATTTGTCTTTTAAAGTTTCAAGAAAATTTAGAAAAGTACTGCTTGTGTATATAATAAAACATATGACATCGAACATAGGGATAACAGAGGTCAGAAAGTCATTGCAAATTACATTGAATAGATGATTGAACAATGTTAATGATATTATATGTATATAAATCACACTGTTTCAGGCATACTTTTCGTCCTTTTCAATTATTAACATCTTGGTTTCGTCTATCTTACAAAATACGCAACCGGAATTTCATAGAAATCGATAATTCGTTTGTTGTCGATTGCAAACCAACAAACTCGAAATGTTCAAGAAATACTATTACCAGCTCCTTTCTTTGACATAGACTGTATGGCAATCGTTCATACAGTTCTCAAATTGCTGATATCGTTTAAAAATCTAAGCGGTCAGATCCACTTGTAGTATTATTAACATCCTAAACTTCCACCAAATAATTCATTAGGTAGCAAATAAAACATCCATCATTCAAATCAAAACAGTATTTTTTTTTTGTTTATGTAAGCATATTTTTCAGCTTTTTTTTGCTGAAATCGCGAGGAGAAGCAGTGAATCAACAATTGCTTTGATACTGTTTTGATGTATTGTAGGTATAGATCTGTGCAATGTAAATTAATATTGTGCATCCACTGTGTTTATATTCTCTAATAATAATAATTCTTGTGACTCCAGAAATGACCTCAGAATTGACCTCGGGACTGACCTCAGAACTATCCCAGGATCCACCCTATTCGAGGAAGAAGAAGGTCCTGAGCGCCAAATCATTTTCGAAAGGCGTGTTCCAACAGGTGAGTGAGAAAGATGATGACGGGCGTCATTTGGTCTTTGGTCCCTCTTTTGTTCATATTGATTTTATAATTGTTGAATTCATTCCTGTATTACCGAGTTTTGAGGAATAAAGGTATAATTATCCAAGTTTGAGGTACTACCACTGAAGAGGCAGAAAGAACCGTCAGTTTTTGTCATGGTTGAAGAAAATCGTCCACAAAATTTGGTTCGACCGACCCGATTCGAGCAAGCGACCTAAGGATTCGATCAAGAAAGAAGCAAGTAACTCTTATTCAATCAGGAAAGAAACAAAGAAGAGAATAATTCTTATTCGCATCAGCTCATAACAAAGCTTAAAAGTGAGGTCGTAAAAAGAAGTATGAGTGTAAACGAATCAAGAAAGGAAAATTCTCTTCCCTATCTCATTACAAGAAATTTGAAATGTCTAGAGAGTACCGTGAGAAAGGTTGTTGAAAAAACAATAGAACTACGAGAAAAGGATTTACCAGAAAGATTAAGGTACGAAAGAATAATGGAATGGTTAAAAGGATAAAAATCTGATATTGAGAACAAGTAATAGTGTTGGACGGTATAATCTTCAAAGCAAATTATTTGGAGATACAGTGGAAAGAATTGCTACGTTCAACAAAATGATATGAATGAGAGAACAGCGTTGAGTTATACGAAGATTACTTGTATGAGGAAGACTGTCTATTTGACAAGGGAAATAAGTTTGTTGTGAAAGACCTTTGTTGTGAAAGTTTGAATTGTCTGAGTTGAATAGTTTCAGCAACGATATATTTGATATTTATTTGTGTAGGAGAGTAACCAAAGAACTTCTTTATTGACAGGATAATATGCAAATCTCTTTAAACATAATATCGACCCAAGCCAATAGACTTTAAATTTGGTAAATAATGGACAGTTGGAATAAGCGAAGAG